CACGCAGTTTACGATGTTTGACTGACAATAAAGTTAACTGATCTCTGTCATTAATAAGATTATTTTTAATAAATAAAATTTACATATTCAAAAACTACATTAAAACCGCTACAAAGCCTGATCAAGAAAAATTAAATTTGATTAAAGTTGAATATATAAAGAAAAGATTAAGAACATGCACGTTGACTGGAGAATAGTAGACGAGAATATTTAAATGGAACGGAGGGGGTATCTTACAAGCACTGGCGGATCTCTTTTGTTCAAGGGTGTTCAGCTAAATACCCAAAAATTTGAAAATAAAGTGCAAAAATACATATAAGATTGATGTAATAATTTATATATTGTATTTTTTATACAATATTTCTTATTATGAACCCTATTTACTAGTTTTTTGTAGTTGAAAAAAATTACATTTCTTCAATTACTGGATCAAATAATATTATTGAGTAATATTTTAGTGTCAAAAATAATTTGGAACACCCCATGCTGTATTGCAAGATCCGCCGGTGCTTACAAGGTCACAATATGATAGTGTGATTTGGATGATAGTACTCTACTGCTATTCAATCAATTCAAATATAGTGCTCATATTTAGCGGCATACCATTATTTTTATTCCCGTTTTAGAGAATTTATCTCTTTTCTTAAAATTTGAATTACTAATATGAAAGGGAACTTTTGAGCATTTTATTGGATAAATTGAAAAGAATAACTAGTTATTAGTGAAGTGTCTTTTACCTTAGTTGGTTGAGCGGAGTGAGCTTAAAAAAATGATCAATGATAAAAACTCGTTGTGATTTGAGTGATAATAATTCAATATTTAGGGAGTGTTTGGAACTGATTCTGCTTCTGCTTCTTTTTTTAAAGCAGTTTTAAGAAACTAGTAGGGTGAAGTGTCATTTGACTAAACATAATTAATCAAAAGAGAGGATGAAATATGTATATATAGGGATTGGCCAATGAAAAGGCGCGCATGTTATGGCCTTCCCACAAGCAAATAGACTAAAGTAACTTTTGAGAAGTCTGGTTTTTCATTTCATCGTACGACAGAGACAAAGTGGGTCTGGAGAGTTGAAAACAGTTCCCACCTAGCTTGCTAATTAGCTGCTTCCTGGCACACAGTTTTTTTTATTATCTTCGTACACATTTGTGTTTTAGGGCAAAAAGTTATACAGCTTTAACGTTGATTGGTTGGAATCTTCGAGCCGCTTAATTTGACTTCAAAGATAGAATTTGCTAAAATAGTTTAGTAATTGACTGAAATTACTGACCTACCCAGATGAATTACTATTCTCTCCATTTCCAAAAATTCTCTCAGTTTTCTTACTTCGTGATTAGGATGTTTTCTTGTGTGGTCTGCTTTGTTAAATGTCTAGTATTTGTGTATTTTATTACTATGAATGTCTGATCTGATCTAAAACTGAAAAACAGTCTAAAAGAAAATATACATAGCTGTATAAAAAGTAACAAATGTGTAGTTAGTTTAATTCTTTTTTCTCTATCCAAATTTCAATCACATAGTTTATCATTCTACGTGCAAATAAATTTTGGGAAAAAATTATAGAACTGAATGAGTACTTGATATCTTTGTTCCCTAAAATTAGTACAAAACGGCTGTTGTTAGTACTAAGAAAAACAGAGTCGCATGGTTAGTATTGAATTGACAGAGTGCAAATAAAGAAAGAATGAATTCAAACCAACATAAAAATTACTCCGTAATATACTCCCTCCGATTCAAAAAGAAGTTCCATTTTTCCTTTTCGGGCAGATTCAAAAATAAGTTCCACTTTCAAACATTTTTTTATTTGACAAATTATCTACATCAAAACAGTGTCAAACAGTGTCAAACAATGCCAAACAACGTTCAAACAGTACCAAACAGTGCACTCCACAGTAAAGTCAAATTTATTTTCTTAATACGTGTGAAGTCAAATGTGAAACTTGTTTCAACGGAGGGAGTATAATCTACTCATTTTGTCTCTTCAAATACGTTACATCTCACTTTCTTCCATGGATGTCTCTAAATAATGTTTCGTTTCATTATTCAGTACACTAATTTCTACTCCCAGCGGTCCCAAATGAAATTCACACTTTGACTTCACACAAATTAAAAAAATAAATTTGACTTTACTGTAGAGTACATTGTTGTGACACTGTTTGGCACTGTGTTGCACTCTTTTGCACTGTTTTGATGTAGATAATTTGCCCATTAAGGAATAGAAAAGAAGTGTGAAATTTATTTTGGACCTACCAAAGGAAAGTGTGAATTTCATTTGGGATCGGATGGAGTATTAATTTACAATACGGACTGCCCTTAGATAATAATGACACCACAATGCAAAATAGTGTTAATTAAACCAGGTTAAACAACCTCAAAATGGTTTATTTTATAGTAAACTTTATTATCACTAAAATGTGCCTTTCACTCTTTCAGGAAATCAAAGAAAAATAATAACTTTCTTAAGATGCGTCCTATTCAAATAAAAAAGTTTAAATAGAGACGGAGGAGATATGAGACAAACTTGATGAGGCAGACAAAAAAAGGAACAAACATAATGAAACAGAAGGAACCAAACACCGTCATCTTCTTGAATTAACTCGGACTATGCTACTTGAAACCTCTATTCCGAGTCAATATTGGATTGATGCTATTTTTACGGCTGCATATATTATTAACAAATTCACCATCTCCTACATTACAGGGACTTTCTCCGTACCAAAAACTTTTTCATCGTGTCCATGACTATTCATTTATGCGTGTTTTTGGATCCGCTTGTTATCCAAAATTTTCAGCCTCTTCGGCTAATAAACTTTCCTCTCGATCTGTTCAATGTGTTTTTGTTGGCTATGCACCGAGTTGTAAGGGCTATCGTTGTTTGGATCCTACTACAGGTCGTGTCTATGTCAGTCGTCATGTTAGGTTTCATGAAGATACTTACCCCTTTCAAACACTTCACAAATCTAGTTCATCTCCTTCCCATGCACCTTACCAAACAAATTCAATCGAATGAAAAGCATGAGTAAAAAATGAGTGGATGGGAGTAAAATTTGTGTTGAAATTTAAGCCAAATTTCATTTTGAGACAATGACGGTGACACTTAATTCCAATGTCAACAAATGTACTATTTATTTTATATGAATCTCAACATAAAATAATGCCGTTTTTATAATGTGTTTTTACTTATCAAAACTCAAGATCAAAGTTGTGTAGTTTCGGGCTTTCGGCTCTAGTTTTATACATTCATAATGCTTTTTCGTCTTTTTTGTAGTAATGTTTCATCTAAATGGTTTCTGCAACCTCGAAATTTAGTTTATATAAGAAAGAACTAATATTATTCAGGTGGATCAAAAGCAGAGGGTACAATTTATCATCTAATCTAACTACTAATTGGAGATAGGAAGTGGGGCGCCTGCCTTGTCATTCCTTTCCAGGTCCTCCACTTGGTAGCTTGGCCAAAACACTCATCCTTGATAAATGAGTGTATCTAAGAGTTATATTACCTCCGTTCCTATTAAAACTTCCAAATAGGTTTGGCACAGAGTTTAAGATAGTGGGTATTGTGTGGTGGAGAGTTGTGCAGAGGAGAGAGAAATGTGTAAGAAATGTTGTGAACCACAAATTCTTTACTAAAAAGGGAAAGTGGAAGTTTTAATTGGAACGGACGAAAAAGGAAAGTTGGAAGTTTATTTAGGAACGGAGGGAGTAGTTATTTTAAGAAATATGGATATAAGAAGGAAATACTGTCGGGTTAAGAATAATTCCCAAAATACTGTTGGAATTAACCACGGTCAAGGAAAGCCGCCACTCCAAGTGGCGGCTCTTGTATTACTTCACAAAAGCCGCCACTTCGAGTGACGGCTCTTCTCTTATAGTACAAAATCCGCCACTTCAAGTGACGACTCTTCTCTTACATCCCATTTTGTATATATATAAGACTATTTATAACCAAACACGCCAATTCGATAATGAATTCATTTTGCATGAAGCAAGATCATTTCAATCAAATATCTTGCTTATTTCATTTTATTATTATACGGAGTATCTTACAAAAAAAGTAGAAATTGGGAACTATTTTCAGTGAATTTACAATAAAAAATAGAAGGAATATACAACAAGTTTTAAAAAATACGAACTATTTCCTACCTGGTAAAAAGGAAAAAAATATTGGAGTTACTAGTAAAAAATAAAATTAAACTTAGTACCAAAAAATAGGAGGCATAAGGATGAAAGTTTTTTTTCTTGGGCTCCAACTTGGTTTTTGTTTAGCAACAAGTAGGAGCACTTGAGTAAGGAAAAGATAGGGGGCAACATGGGAATATATGAAACAGTCGATCGTAAAAGCTGAGATTAATGGCTTTTCATATTTTGGCTGCTTGAGATCAGAAGCCAAATGTAAAAGCCATTTAGCCAAACGCTCTAATTAGGTGATTATTTGATCAAAAAGCTAAATAGTGATCAAATCAATCAAAAAATGGATAGGCCAATAACCAAACACTATATTGCCACTTTTATCCTTCCAAAAATGTTTGTAGTCAAAAAAAGAAAAATATAGAGGGGCTGAAGGTAAATAATTTCATTTTTCTGTTTGAGTTGAAATTCTGAAAATACCTTAAAACTTGGTATGTATACACGGAGTATATAAGTTCTATTCAGGAGCCGAGTCGGGGCACATGATCGGTACAAAAATATGGAACCCCCATATGACTTCATTTTATGGAGTCATTCGATGTCTAGTAGAAGACACCACAAAATAAATGAATAATGATGGTAGTGTCACGATAAATTAGAATGTAGATAATTTTAATGAGAAATACGTAGTGAGTATGATATAGGAGTAAGATATTAGGCTACTTATTCTTCTTTTATCCCAAAGTTTTTGAGATAGAACTTAGCTATACATAGTACTTCTATTTGTCTTTGTCCCTTGCAATGGGATGTCTTGAGATTGATCTAGATAAATTTAGTTTTCATCTAGACCGCATGCAATATGCGGTATATATAGAGACCTCACCAACGCTCTTATTAGGCTATAAGTTTAGCTCCTCACTCTCTGGAAAAATGGCCGACTGCAATAGCGCCATGACTAACCTCCACCTTAATGATCCAATGGCTCTCATTACCGATTTCTACCCTCATATCTTCCCTCCACTCCTATCTGATCAAGGTTATTATTATTAATGTACTTCTCTAATTAAGAATTAAGATATACTAGTATTATGTTATTCTTTTTCTGACTTCCACATTCTTTTTTAGGAGAGGTGGCGGTGGAGGCGAAACAAAAGCGGCGGCGCAAGAAGAAGAAGGCGGGTGCGGGGTTGACGGGGTTGAAGAAGAGGAAGCTGAGTGAAGAGCAAGCTAGCCTTTTGGAGCAAAGCTTCCGAGACGAGCACAAGCTCGAGTCGGAGCGAAAAGACCGGCTGGCTTCGGAGCTGGGACTAGACCCGCGACAAGTCGCGGTCTGGTTCCAGAACCGAAGGGCGCGGTGGAAGAGCAAGAATCTGGAGGGGGAGTACAGCCGGCTCAAGTCTGAGCATGACACCGCCGTGGTTGAAAAATGTCGCCTTGAAGCTCAGGTATGTATATATGTCGCTTTATGTGTACATGTATGTTTATGATGATGATCGATGATGGTCCTAAAAAGACTTGAAATGAAAATTGGTGAATTTGCCAACTTTAGACAAGCTAATAGATGGCCTATTTCATTCACTTCTCTCTAGCTTAGAGGTGAGGGCCTAAGAAAAGTGAATAATAAGAAATGGAAAAAAGGTTTAGGCCCTCTAACTTACATAAAAAGGTCAAATAAACTTTTATATAGAAGTTTCTGTCCGGTCTTCGCCATTTTGGATAGTTCACGGTGGATTTTTTTGATGAAATTTTTTGAGCATCTTATCCATTAAGTCTAGTTTATGCATACCAAATTTCATCTAACAATTCAATCCGAAAGGCATTCAAATGAATTCTTGAAGATAACTGCGCTTTTAACTGCACAGTTATCTTCAAGAATTCATTTGAATGCATTCCCGATTGAAGTTTTAGCTGAAATTTAGTATGAGTAAATTAGACTTAATGAATAAGATGCTCAAAAAATTTCATCAAAAATCCCAACGGAAACCGCCCCAAATGATGACGGCTGGACAGAGCCTCTTATATAAGGGCTCATTTGACCTTTTTATGTAAGAAAATATGGTGGTCTGATACACACAACAATTCAATGCTTCTGAAATATCAAAACTGAAGTTTTTCTTTACATTTCTTTTAGACACTCAGAGCTAGGAACAGGATGCGTAGATGATGGTCATGTTAAGCATGGCCCACTCTAAATTTGATAACTATTTTGATTACATGTGCAAAAGAATGCATAAGAATTTATTGGGAAAAAACATTATACCAACCTAAGTCCAAACTTAACTACACTTTGGTTCATTTCAATAAGTTCTTAATTAGATCCCTATGTATCTGGTTCTGAATTGCAATTCATAATTATCGTTGATAAAATTAAGGAAAAATTCTCGAAATAGAATTGAACGAGTTTTGGAATTTCAAAATAACATTATCAAGTTTTTCTTCTCGAAATGGGAGTAATATGACAGTATTTACTGTCATCCTGAATTGTTAAAAGAGTTGAAGTACTAGGCATTGCCGTGACAATATTTAAATATTCTCATTAATGACAATAATGACTCCTTTTCAGGAAAAAAATAATTTTATTTTGAAATTTCAAAACTTGTTTACTCTTATTTAGAGCAATTTGATGTTAAAACCTAATCAATCAATAAAGTTAGTAATTAAGATGCATGATTCATTTGCAAAGTGAAGAACACTGTCACATCAATTGAAAACTGTATTTAATTAGTGTGGGATGTTTAATTTAAGGGTTTTTGTAATGCCTTTAAGGGATTTTGTAATGCCTTGTCACATAACATAGTTGCAACAAAAGGAGTTTGCAACTTGCAAGTGGATAGGTTTTTGTTTGTTACCACTTCAATTCCAATTGGTCAGTCTAGACGCTGTTGTTTAAGCCGCACATGATCTCTGATGAGCCAACCCCCCTTTTGACATTTCCTTCTTTTCCCACATGGATGTAGTGTACCTTCATGGCATCATATTTCTTTTTTCTCTTCTTGTAAAACAAAACAATTTGAAAGAGACTTCAGATCAATTCTGAGTGATTAATTTTACAGGTGATAGAGTTAAAGCAACAGCTTTGTGATGTTGAGAACAAGCTTCAAAGGCTGTCGTCGGAGCGGGGCGATGGGGTTTCTAGCAATAGCCCGAGCACTTCGTCGTTCCCGACACCGGCGGGGGCCCCGTCGTTTTACGGAGAGTACTTCGGAATGGATGACGTGTCGTTCTACTACGTTGATGATCAGTACCATTATGGTCATGTAGAGGATCAATGGATTTAACTTAATTTGATGAATGTGATTGGTAATTATGTGTACAAACCTAGCTAGGTTATTGTTGAAGTGTTTATTATATATTCATATATATAATAACCACATGGATTCATCTTGATTAGTTGCATTATTGTAATGTTAAATTAGGTTGTAGATAATTAAATGACCCCTTGTGTAGTAGTCTTTGTAAATTTCTCCAATTTTAATATCTTCTTATTGCTTGATCTAGTTTCCGGGCCATATAGTAGCATTCAGTTAGTGGTGTACTACGTGACTTTATTTAGTCTATCCATTTGTCAATTTATAATGATTTGAAGTCATTATTTAGTCAGCTGGTACAACGTTATTGTTATTAGTAATTCTTGTACATTATTGAAAATGACTGTTTCGACTAGAGGTGACATTTGGCTAAATCCACCTAAGCCAAATCGAATTAATTATATTTATTCCAACTTATAACGCATAAAAAAATCAAACTTATAATAACTAGCCATTAGGTAAACTTTTCTCAAACAAAAAAGCCATTAGGTAAACTTTGAAACTTCAAAGCTATTTTTTCCTTGAATTAATTCCACTTTTGGTCGTACGAGTATTGTGTCAATTCCACACGTACTTAATCCACGTCTTTCACTTTGTCCACTTTTGATAGTTGACTAATGTTTTTTAACCGTTTGTGGTCCTTTTCTGACGATTTCAACCATCGGAAACAATGCCGAAAAGACTATATATGAACGAAAACACAATAATCATGTATCAAAAATGGACAAAGTGAAATATATGGAATAAATGTGGAATTATACTTAAACTCGTAGAATCAAAAGTGGAATTTATTCTTTTTCTTTGATTCATAATTTTGCCTTTTGTTTTCGCTAAACAGAAAATGGAAAATACGAAGTATGTAACGATCGTGAGTGAGACCTCAAGCTAAGTAGGGTCCTCAATATGTCATTTTGCATATTCGGCAGGGCCGTCTAATGAATTCGGAGGCCCCGGTTTCAAATGTAAAATCGAGGCCCCACATTAATATAAAAAAGTATCAAAAAAATTCAATCCAAATACATATACTTAAATTAATTGAATACTCATTAAATAATGTAATAAAAAATTTCTAAAATTGAATTAATATTTGATTTAAAGCAACATAACTCATTATTCAAGCAATTTGATTAAAGAAAACTAAAACGACCAACGAAAAAAATGGTAAAATATTTTTCTTCCTCACTAACTGTGTTTTACTGATCAGTATTAATATATGTAGTATAATATTACGGAGTATTATATAATACTAATAAAATTTTGAAATTTTGGGGCCCCGTAAGTTTTGGGGCCCTGTTCTGGATAATCTATTGAACCCCCTAAAAAACGGCCCTGATATTCGGTATATTTTTATAATGGGGTAACTATTAGCAACTAAATTTGAAAATTTCTAAATAAACGGATGAATTCACTAAATATGCTGAATTCTTAAAAATTATATTTAGAATATATTTTATTAATAAAATTAATAAAATAATAAATAATTATAAGAAATATCCAAAAAAGCTAGAATAATTCTCTTAAGCAAATTTAGATGGAAATGTAATCTCAACGTTGATAAGGTGAAAATATTGATTATAAAATGGACTTTTAATTGGCTAAATTTTGAAGGGAAGAGAAATAGAGTGGGAGAAGGGGAGGAAAATATATAACTTCAAAAACTCTCTATTCTCAGGAATTTGAAATCGCACATATGGGAGTACTGTGGAGGAAAGCTGTGTGAGCTATATATAATCAACTTTGTCATCTATTCGAAATGTGTTAGATATTATTAGATTTATTCTCCATATTATTAATATTTAATGTTAATATTTCCTTACATGTATTGCACTAGCCGTTACGGAAGTTATTGTAGGAAGGTTAGCTATATTTATTCCCTTAGCTTCCATTTTTGTAGTAGCACTCTTGAAAGATATAAGTTCGCCTCTGGTTAATTCAAACATCATTTAATCGCAAGACTCCTATTTCACGTTTGTTAATGCACAACTTTGATCTCATTATAATTAATTAGGAAAAATAATAGAAATATCCTAAACTTTGAACGAGTGTGAAATAAATAGCCAAACTTGCATATGTAATACTCTGTATGTATTTGGAGCATGATTATACGGAGTATGTTTTTATATAAACAGTTATTTTCATACCATGATTACATGTTTTTTACAAATCTACATTTAGAGAAATAAGTACATAATTTAAAATCCTCTAAGGTATATTTGGATGCACTAACACTCTAAAATTTCATTTGCGAAATAATCAATATTAATCCGACCAAATCTAACTTTAATTGCATCTTTCATAAGTATACTTTTGTTTATTGGACTCCCTCCGTCTCATTGGACTTTGACAACTTTGCTTTTTTTGTTGTCCCAACAAATTTTGACATTTTTCTATTAAAGCAACTAATTTGTGGTTCTCCGCATTTCTCTCTTATCTGCACAAATCTTAACCACACAGTTTTTACTATTGTTATTTCTCATCTACTGTGCACTTGGCATAGTCCACCAGGATGGAGGTAGTATATTTTAAATTATGTACTTAACACCATAAAACTACATTTGTGAAGAAAACATATGATCATGCCGCTAACATAACGTTTTATATAAAGATTGAAGTAAATATATTACATGTGCAAGTTTGAAGTACCTACCTCACACCTCTTAAAAGTTTAGGATTTTTAATTATTTTTCCCTAATTCTGTATTAGTAAAATAAATTAAATCAGATTATGGAAATTTGTGATGCGACGAATTCAACAATATTTTTCAAAAATATCCCAAAGTAGAGCTTGTTAGTAGTGTAAGTTTTCATGTTGTAGCTAAAAAAAGAATAGAGAATGGTAATATTTAAAAGTTCATATAATAATTAATATTTTCCCTTATGTAAGGAATTACGTACTTTCATACTACGTATTATATTATATACTCCTCAATTTCTTATAATTTTGTCATTTTTTTATTGTGTCTAAAACTATGTTACTTTTCTTTTTAATCAATGAATTGTGTTTCCTGTTATTTCTGTCTCCTCTGCACAAATCTCAACAGTATAGTTTATAATTTGTTGATTCCTGTGCCAATCTAATTTAGCAAAATTTTGAGTAATAGAGAGTATATCACAAGGAATTTAGTGCATTAAATTTCACCAGGTATAATCCTATAGATATTCACTTGGGTTGACAATTTGGGTTCATTTTCTTATATTGGACTGAAATTATTGCTTATTGTATTTTTCGGCCGTTTTCTTTTCTTGGGCAGGATATTATTTTGGACACGCCGGACCCAGTCTATTGTTTCAACCTAAACTTATAAGAAAAATTCTAAAGGTACACACTTTTTGGTGTACACACTTTTTACACATGTCTGTGTAAGGTTTTTTTTATGTCTGTACAGACATAACGTATTTTTAAAATACGTTATGTCTGTACAGACATAAAAAAAAACCTTACACAGGCATGTGTAAAAAGTGTGTACACCAAAAGTGTGTACCCCAAGTCCAACTCATCATGGGCTACCCCTATTTTGTGGGCTGCTGCACAACGAATTATCTGCAATTTTCACAGATGGGTTAAAGCTTCCTTTTTAAAGAAAGATGGGTCAAAATTAAAAAGTGAAAGTAGTATTTATGGAAAATTATATTCATAACCCGGACGGTAAACCACCAACATCAGTGAGGTAAATGTCGGGGAACATTTACCGTATTTTATTAATAAAGAGAACGAAACTAAAACCTCCCAATGAGAAAAGAAAATATTTCACTTTTGGTCCCGTGACTACTATACCACTTCCACATTTAGTCACTTACTTTTAGATTGTCCACATTTAGTCCGTGACCATTATCCCCTCACCACCCCTCGTCCTTTTCGCCAAAATTCGGGCAAATTTAATGCAGATTTTAGGTATGAAAGTCAAATTTAATGCAAAGAATGATATGAAAAACTCAACCTTATATAAAATCTAATGCAAAGACTGATTATGAGGCTGATAAGTGGACTAAATTTGCTGGAATTTTGGCCGGAAGGACAAGGGGTGGTGAGGGGATAATGGTCACGGACTAAATGTGGACAATCTGAAAGTAAGAGACTAAATGTGGAAGTGATATAATAGTCATGGGATCAAAAGTGGAATTTTTTCATGAGAAAATTATACAAAGCATCTAAAGTAAGGAATATTAAATAAATCGAAATTAAACTCAAGCTTAACTGGGCTAGGCTGGGCGAGGCATTAACCGAAGTCCATCAAATAAAATGGGCCGGATACATTGCAGCGAGGAAGTGGGCGGGTTTGTTACCTTCTCTAAAAATATGTCGAAACATTATACCTTTCGTAAAACATAGATGTCTGAAGCCAACAATATCAGGGAAAGTTCCTGAAATATGAATAAAACGGTTTCAAAATTCCAAAATACGATTGTCATATTTTTTACTCCCAAAATAGGAATAATTACTGTCATATTTAGAAAATAATGACATATTTGAATTCTGATACTGCCAAAACATGACAGTAATTAGTCCTATTTTGGGAATAAAAAATATGACAATCGTATTTTGGAATTTTGAAACCGTTTTATTCATATTTCAGGAACTTTCCCTGATATTGTTGGCTTCAGACATCTATGTTTTACGAAAGGTATAATGTTTCGACATGTTTTTAGAGAAGGTAACAAACCCGCCCACTTCCTCGCTGCAATGTATCCGGCCCATTTTATTTGATAGACTTCGGTTAATGCCCCGCCCAGCCCAGCCTAGCCCAGTTAAGCTTGAGTTTAATTTCGATTTATTTAATATTCCTTACTTTAGATGCTTTGTATAATTTTCTCATGAAAAAATTTCACTTTTGATCCCATGACTATTATATCACTTCCACATTTAGTCTCTTACTTTCAGATTGTCCACATTTAGTCCGTGACCATTATCCCCTCACCACCCCTCGTCCTTTTCGCCAAAATTCGGGCAAATTTAATGCAGATTTTAGGTATGAAAGTCAAATTTAATGCAAAGAATGATATGAAAAACTCAACCTTATATAAAATCTAATGCAAAGACTGATTATGAGGCTGATAAGTGGACTAAATTTGCTGGAATTTTGGCCAGAAGGACAACGGGTGGTGAGGGATAATGGTCACGGACTAAATGTGGACAATCTGAAAGTAAGAGACTAAATGTGGAAGTGATATAATAGTCATGGGATCAAAAGTGGAATTTTTTCATGAGAAAATTATACAAAGCATCTAAAGTAAGGAATATTAAATAAATCGAAATTAAACTCAAGCTTAACTGGGCTAGGCTGGGTTGGGCGGGGCATT